TACATATCCGGAGCACATATCCGGAGCAGAGACATATCCGGAGCACATATCCTCACTTTTTGCCTGAACTCGTGACAGCGATTCGTCTCGCTGGGACGAGGCGGATATTAACTATGGTCTATGCCATCTCTGCATGCGCATGCACTCTCTTGGAATGCTTGTATGGGAAAACTTCACGTCAGGATAGTTATATAGAGTACTTGCATGAAAGCCGACTTGAGTTATGTCTTCCCGTGGTCACAGGAATAATGACATCAGACTATTAGTGTTGTCATTTATGAGAGCTACCAAGCGAAAAGTTGATATGCGATGAGAAAGAAGTGGAGCATTGTATTTCATTTTGACAGGACGATGCTAGCAAGCTCATCACTGTCATAATAAGAAAGACTGGAGCATAGTAGCTGCCAGCTGTCTATACGAGAATACGATATTGTCTCGATAGATTGTTTTCTACAGCGGCTGCTTTCCGATCCACTCACTCATGGAAGGGTGAGCTCGGGTCGCTTTAGACACTCCCTTTTTGTCTTTGCATTGGATGACCTACGGCTGATGGCAACAAAAACGGTCGTCAATAATGAACAGGTGCACTTGCTAAAAATGTCTGAAATAAATAATAAAGCAGACAACTCCGGGCAAACACTGCCCATCCCAGTTTCAAAAAGAATGTAGCCATTGCTCTCTTGTATCACGATTACAAAACTTGCAAAGGTTTGTCCGTGAAGGTGTTCAGAGAAATAATCAAATAAAATGGGCTTGTCTTCGCCATGTCCATCCTCTGATATTACCAATAATCGTGACAAGGAAATTCTCGCTGTAAATTATCGCAGAATTCTGCGTGAGGTACGAGCTGAACAGAACGACCCAGTATGGTACAATACCTGCTTTCCTAAGCACGGTGATTGTGGAGCAGCACCGTTCTTCTTTGTCGGAAGCCTTTGATGGCTGCGCCAGCTTGCTGGCAGACATTATACTCCCGAGCGGCCAGCGGCAGTCCTCAAGCAGTCTTCCAGAGCAGGGCAGCCGCAGTTCTCGGCAGCAGTCCACCAGCTCACAGCAGAGTATTTCTCCAGCTAACCAAGAGCTAGAGTTGACGTCCATCCCTCCCCCCACCAAGGTCCGCAACAGCAAACCTCATTCTGCCAAAAAAAAAAACAACCAAAAAGCGACGCAAATTGAAAACACCAAAAGCACATCGCTCGCATATCACAAGTACATCCCGAGAAACAGATGATGAAATGTCGCAAAAGTAATGTCGATGATGCGAGTAGTCATTCAGATCCAGCGCCTCGTCTAAAATGTTTTCACCGAGTGTGTGTGTGGGGGGGGGGGGAGGGGGGAGATTTATTGCTCATATAGCATTAGCCTATATGACATCGTACACAATGACGGGGAACCGACTTCACTTGATCAGGACTCATTTAACTAGGAAAGGGGTTGCCACGCCACTGGGTGGGGAAGGATGCACAACAGCGGAGAGATTTTTGCCCTCCACTCAACTTGGGCGCACGGCACCCTGCCGGCAGAGCGCGAGCCCTGCGAGTGCACCGGTAGGTAATCAAACACACACCAAATGAATTAAAAAGGTAATCCTGTCAAACGAAAGCCACATGCCGAACGAAACGGATATTTACCCTCAACGTGACACACACTCACCTCGATTGCACCAGCAACGCAACGCACAACCTTCCAGGATGCGTTTCACTATGCGCCAAGCTGTCACGGGAATGACGCGCGAGTCGGGTGCAGCGGTTACGGCCAGACCCCCCCCCCCCGCCGCCCGTCGCCAGCATAGCAACCAGTATGGCGGGGCGGGAACAATGTGACCAAG